TTCTCAGCTGGAGAGGTCCCCTCTCTGGAACCCAGCTTGGGGAGCACACTGCAGATGGGTAATGGCTAAAGTCTCTTCTCCACGGCACCAAGCCCTCTCCCTGCTAGGGGCTGAGGGACCCTTTCCTATAACGATAACATGCCTTTAAAAAAAGAATTCGAAGCATTAAAAGAACCAGGTGCAGAATAACTAACTGCCTTGCACAAAGGCAGAGGTTAGAAGGAAAACTTTGCTATTGAGTCACTGAATAACTTCTGCAGAACTATATGGGTCTCTCTTTTCAGTCCTTACACATGCCTCTTCTTCCTTTGTTATTGTGTGTGAGAGGGGACGACAGCAACTTAAAATTTACTACTTGTTATGTGTACAACTTCGTCTGTTGAAAATATTCATACACTTGTATGACGAATACTTGAACTCTATCTTGCAAAACTGAAATTCTAAACCATTAAACACTAATTCCCCCTCTTGACTTCCCTCAGTCCATGGCAGCCAATCACCTTTCTACTTGACTTTGACAGGCCCAACTTCAGATACTTCTAATGAGTAGAATCATACAGTATTTGTTCTTTTGCCACTGTCTTACATCATGAAACATAATGTGCTTCATCATGGAACATAACGTGCTTGAGATTTATCTATGTGGTAGTATACAACAGGATTAAATCATTTTTGATACGTATTTTTAAAAACATTATTTTTGTTTGCCTCTGCCATAAAATTCAGATCTTTTGCAAGGTGCCGTTTGACACTGTTCTCTGTTTCGTGTGTGTGTGTGTGTGTGTGTGTGTGAGAGAGAGAGAGAGGGGGGGGGGAGAAAGAAAGAGAGTGTATGTGACTCTTTCTCCCTGTTAGGTGGTAACCTTTCACCTTTCAGTTATAAAGCAGAATGTCTTCAGTCTACCCAGCACCCAGCCTACTAAGCGTCTGATATACTCGGACAGTAAACTCTGTGGATCAGGTTCCACTGTTTTCTTTATCACTATTCCGTGATTGTTTCCCTTATCACTATTCCGTCAATCGATGTCGAACACGCAGAAAACAAACAGGACGTATACTTTAAAGGAAATAAAGAGACCCAAATTTCCAAGACTTAGTGCTACACTGTGTACCCCATTCCCCAGAACTGATTTTCAAGTTCTGATCTTGATGTCCCATGGAGCGGGGCCCAGCCACACTGAGTGGCTCATGACCATGACGTCCTGGCCTGTCACACAGAGGAGGAGCCAACTCAGGGCCATGCTTTCAACTCCCCACCTTTAATATCGAGGAACAGACAGAGCCCCAGGTTGCGTGTGTGGAAACGCCAGAGATGGATAAAAATAATTCAATGACAAATGCTGGAAAAACATACAGAGAGGCAGAAGCCAGACATTCGTAGGATTCCCTGACAGCTCGATCCACAAGGAAGGGCTGGACTGGAAAAAACAGAGCCTCAGGTTCCTGCCAAGCTGTCTGAGGCCCTGTCCTTCCCAAATCATTCCAAGCAGCAGCCAAGACTTTACAGTAACCCTTCCAGGTCTCACAAAGCAAGATGCACTCACTGTGAACCCACTGAGTGCTCCTCACTCAGAAACACGCCTCCCGATAGCGTCCACACGCACGCAAGGCTGTGCGATGTCCCTGCACATCAGCTCTCAGACCCTCAGGCCTCCCCTTTCTCCCAGAACATGACAACTAAAAGGCAGCTTGAAAACCCTACCCAGTTCATGGGTGGAAGAAAAGTTTAAATACCCAGGTACCAGCATCCAGAAATCAAATAAAATCTTTTTATTAAGGAAAAAAAAGAGGTCACGCACATTTGGTACCTGCATCCTGGGGCCCTATTGTATAATTCTAAATTGGACTCGCTGGGAGGCACACCTTGGGCTTCTAAACATGTGACTGGATTTGGCCCTGACTACTTTCTCTTCTGGAGAGTGGCCTGCAATTAATCTCACTTATTACCTCTGAAAAGTAACAACAGAGGAATGGCTCGCCAAGTCCAACTCCAGAGTGTCTAGGGAACTGAGAGCTACATGGCCAGGCCTCAGACTGTCTGGGCAAGTTGCGGGCTCTCTGCCTTCCTCTCCCACAACAAAGCTTGAACAGGGACTCCAGACAGACCAAAGGAACCAAGGGATTTGAAGAGCTGGGCTGAGCTCACACTGACCCAATGGGAGACGACAGCCCTGAGGCTACATCTGGGAGGTTTCAAAACAGCGGAGAGAAGAACAAGGTTGTCTGGTGAAAGCTTGTGTGATCCATAAAATTGAGAACAATAGCAATACCACAGAGAAATGAAAAATAACATTATTTTGCAGAGTTCTCGTGAGTCACCGGTTTTCATTCCTGTGGCTACCAAGTCGCTGAGTCCTCCACCATGCAGATGAAAAGCCCAGCCAGCAATGGGATTCTCTTTACATTTTGTTACCGTTTACAGGTAACACCTAGTTTAGCAAGTTATTAGTTTATCAGCAGTGGAATCCACTGTTGCTATTTAGAAAAACTAGTGAGAGCACCTTTTATTTACTTAGCACCCGCTTCCAAGGAGAACAACGGGTTTTAAGTGCAATCTAAAAGCTCTCAAAACTGACCAGTTTATGCGTAAGTGTGCTTACCTAATAAAAAGATTAAATGTATAGTTTAGGGTCACTTGCTGTCAAAACCAGTAATAAAACTACCATCTCCAAGCTACCAATATCATATTCTTTTTTACTTTTTTTTAAAGATCTATTCATTTGTGCATACAGAACTGGGGTACAGGCCAGAGGTGCAGGGGTGGTGAGAGGATTCACCAGAGACAGAGTGGGGAGCAGAACAGACCAACTGCTGAGGGGAGTAGCGGGCGGGTCAGGAGAGGTCTGCTGCACCATGTGGATCAACTCCGGGGTGGGGATCAAACTCATGCTGAAGTGGCTTTAGCTTCTTAGTGCTGTGCTTTAACCTGCTGTGCCACCAGGGAAGGCAGCAATCCTGTATTCTTAAATTCAGTCATGCTTCTACTAAGGAAGGAGCAGCGCGAGGCCAAACAGCCCCCAACAGCCACCTCCCAGGTAAAAGTGCATGCCAGGGCACAGGACTGTGTGCAGCGTCAATTCACAGCCAGGTCTGCAAGAATCTCTGGGAAGTCACTGCAGGCAGCTTTAGGAGAGGCACCTCTAGGGATTCCACATGCCTCTGGGACTCCCCAGCTGAGCTGCCAGGCTGCCTGGGCAGCCAGAGTCGCCTGCGAGGAGTGGCAGAGTCCCTTACACTGGAAAGGACCTGCAAACTGGCCCTTCAGCCTGAAGAGCAGCTGGAGAGAGGCCTATTGTGTGCACGACTGCTGTGCAAAGGACAAGGCCAGGAGACTTTGTGGACTGCTTCTGGTGCCCGGGCCTCTGGGCTAGATCACACAGTGCCCGTCTACCCCCGCTCAGAAGCAGCCTGGGAGAACATCACTCATGGGGCTTTGCTCCCAGCCTGGCTCTGTCTGCCCTGACAGGTTCCTTCACCTTTCCGCACCTCAGCACTGGCAGGTGCTACAGGAGAAGGTTCTAGCCAGCTCTCATTCTTACTAAAAAATTTCCCCATATTCCATCGACAAGTATAAAAACGTGAAACCTTTACTTGCCCAAAATGGGCCGTGTTGACATTTTGCTTATAGTGTGGAAAATGGCTGTAGCCTTATTATACAGATAATACACCTAAGATTGCAGAGAAAATGCCCTTCATAGAAACAAAACTCTGGTTGTAAAATGCAAATGGAATATTTGGAAATATTTTATATGGAAAATAAAGCTCTATGGTATAAACAGAATTTCTTTTTTACGACTTATGTTTTAGGAATGCAGTCACTCTGTAAACTGTAAATCACCACAAGACAAGACTTCTCCTGTGAAGAGAGCCATGTGGGAGGATGTCCCAACTGAAAAGTCCTGCCTTTTGGGCTTCAACTCGTTCTAATTCTCGGTTGAGATGACTCTTCACCCAGACCACAGGAATTACTGGTGTGACGGATGCTGTGAAGCATAATGTAATGGGCTTATGTTTACACTGTTTCCTGGGAAGTCTCTGCTCCCAGAATTAGCGCCTTAAAAAATACTTCTAATAACAACACATACTTGAGCAACAATTAGATATTTCCTCCAGATCCAGAGTCTTGGGTCAACCCCTCAACCTCAGCATGCGAGGAGAGGTGTGACTGGAGGTGCTGGCATGGAGGTGAGAGGCTTCTGGGGGGACAGCTCTGGTGAAGCTCCTATGTTTGGAGGGAACAGTATCTCAGCTGTTCAGAATACTTCATCACAGTAGCCACACATCTTTCTAGCTTGTTTGAACTCAGAAGTAGAATTAAAAAACCCACATTGAAAAGCCACCAAATCAAGATGTACTAAGAATCTATGTCTTACATTTTTTATTTTTATATAGGGGAGCTTAAAATACGTTTGAGACCAGATTTCAACATAGTGGTTTCTTTTTGAATTCAGAAGTTGCTTACTTCATGGTCAGAATCTATTTGGATTTTATCCTTTGCCACTTCTCTCAACTACATAAAGGAAAGTTCCTCCCCACTTCCCAATGAATACCGTCTAAGGAGGCTGTTTGAGTTTAATTATATGACCTAGATGAAAATATAAAAAACAAATACATCCTTCAAGAGAAAAAAAGTGCAAAGTTACTGAAAAACCACATAGCACAAAGTATAAAAAAAAGTGAGGAGACGGGGAAAATGTCAAAAGTCAACAAATGCAGATGCTGACTACAGGCAAGGTCTGAACCTAGTACAAATCCTTGCTCTTTCACCCTGAAGTGAATTTACTGAGCTGTATTAGAAACTTCCTCTTCACTTATTTGCCCACAGATTGTCTTACCAGTGAAAGGAGGTCCTCTATTCAAGGGCCAGAGGAGGGGACAGGCAGGGAAAGGCACCTGCCTCAACCATCTCTGCAGGAGACATGGAAGTGCTTGCTTATTAGGACACAGGCCATCCCCATGGGGCCCGAATGTCCTGCTGTGACACATGGCCCTTCACATACCTGCTTCCAGGAGGGCTGGAGTGGCTCTCAGGAGCTTGGGGGTCTGACTGAATTGCCCATGTGGGGCCGCTGGGACTGATGACAGGCCGCAGGGTGGGGGGAGTGGAAGCACTGCTTCTGTTTATGACGCCACTTGTCAAATTCAGGTTTGTTACCTAGAAATGAAGTAGGGAAATGACCTGATTTTACTGAGTTTTAGAAAAGCCATTAAAAACATATGGGAAAAATCAAGTAAAGGCCAGGAGATGCTGACTCATCGGACTGAAACAGTTGCTGTGACAAGGACACCCATTCCAGGCTAGCTTCTGTGCACATGCAGAGCAGGAGAGAGGGTGCGTGAGGGCAGTGAATGCTAACTATTTTTCTGCAGAAGTGTCGTACTGTGCTAAGCACTGTAAAATACAAAGAGTAATAACAAAAACAGCAAAAATGAACTGAATATTTACTCTGTGCCAGGCAGGTTCTAAGAAACTAGACAAGCTACTCAGTCTTTCTGGCCTTCGTTTCCTCATCTGAAAGCTCCAAATGTTAACTAAATCATAGTCATAAATAATAATTACTGTGATACACAAAGAACTCATTGATTTAGAAAGAGAAAATACAGTCAAAAAAGAAAATGAAGTAATATTGATTAATTATGAAATTAAACATTTAAAAGTTGTCATTGCCACTGGCAGTTAAAGAAATGCAAATCCTAAGATTCCACTTTTGTGTGCTACATTGACAAATGATAATGATAAAAAAATATTAATACTTAACTTCGGCATGGGTGATACGAGAGCCTTGCCTTCTTCCTAAACCCTACAGGCTGCATAGGTTAGCTTCTCAATCAGACCCTCTGTAGGATTGGACTCACCCTGCCCACACCTTCCTGCCCTGACACCTGGCTTGAACACCAGCACTTTGAAATTAGACATGGTTTTGCAGCTTATAAAAATACAAGGTGAGAAAGGTCTTTGTGATATCTAGTAGCATCTCCAATGACTGCCTCAGTCAGCTGTGCCAAAGTCTTAATAAAGAAGACTTATTAATAAGTTAGAGGAGGACATGCAGTAATATGGACAAAATGTATACAACACTTTACCATGTTTAGTGTAAACTCTGTAGTTGTGAAATTAGTAAATGGGAAAGAGGAGATAGCAGACGGGGTAAAATCTTCTGTCTTTTGGCTAGGCTGCTCTGATTTAAACACCATCATTTTCATCCTGATGGTCAACATTTACTAGTGCTCACTCTGGCCCATGTAATGGATGCTTCCACAATATCTTGATGTATATGCAAGGTTAACAAGTCCTCAGAAGTATGCTCTGCTGTTACCCATGATTACCAAAGAGAAAACTATGGTCTAGAGATGGTAAACAACTAGACAAAAGTCACTGACGTACAAACTGACAGGGCCCATACCCGGAAAGCCTTCCTCTAAGTGCAAGTGCATATGGTGTACAGTTTCACAAATAACAGAGTTTACTACTTGGATTTTTTTTTTTAAGATTTATTTACTTATGCATATAGAACTGGGGTACAGGCCAGAGGTCTAGGAAGTGAGAGGATTTACCAGAGACAGAGTGGGGAGCAAAATAGGCAGATGTACTAAAATACACTGCTGAGGGGAGCAGTGGGTGGATCGAGAGAGGTCTGCTGCGCGCCTTGTGGGTCACCTTCCTGGCTGGGGATCAAACTCACGCTGCAGTGGCTGCCATAGCTTCACAGTGCTGCACTTTAACCTGTTGTGCCACCAGGGAGGCCACTCATTTGGATTCTTACAGTCGCATCACACACTTATAAGTAGGCGAGGTTTTATGTTTCTCTTACTCCTCACCATTTTTCATAAAAGTAAATACTGCTATATTCACTTCAGAAATGGAGAAATTAAGACTCAAATTATGATAAGCAATCTCCCTAAAGTCACACAGCAATTCTAAAACTCTTGTTTTAAAATCCATTTTCTAGTTTTGAAACTAATAGGGAAATGGTCTAGATATCCTTGTTATGAGAGATCTGTGAAACTACAATATGATACATACCTCAAATTCTCAAAACAGATTTTTTTTAGGGCTCCATTACACCAAACTATACCAGTTATTCCTTTTTCCCCATAAATATTATTTCCCACTGCTTATCTTTTGCCAGAGGACACCAAGGAAGTAAAGCAAAGGAAAATGTACTCAGCTTTGTTTCTTAGCAGGTCAGCAGCAGCAGCACTGCCTGAGACACAAAAAGGCAGATTCTCAGCCCAGCCCCAGGCCCAGGGAACCCACACTTGACAAGGTCCACAGGTAATTCAAGTGTATCTTAAAATTTGAGGAGCGTTCAAGACAAGGCATTTCAGAAAAGGAAAGGAAAGGAAAGGAAAGAACAAAAAAGCACAATCATTTAGTGCTTCTCTTCCATAAAGTTCAGAGAATTTTTCAAAACCAGCAGAAAAGCCCTTCAAGGGATGAAGAGCAAGACGTAAGAGAACAGATGGGAAAGAGTAGGAGAAATGATCATCAACAACTTTAAGGTTTTAGTACTTCTCAGTGTTGTCTGGATGTTCAGGTTTTAATGCAGTAAGTAAACGGTTAAATAAGTCAAGGATGCAAAAAATAAATAAAACAATTTAGAGCAAGTTTCAGAAAATCTGAAGTCTACATGCTAAGCTGCCATGAGAAATATTATCATTAAAAATTTGAGATCCAGGCCCTCCCTGGTAGTGCAGTGGGCTAAAGCACAGCACTGAGAATCTAAAGACGCTTCCGCATGAGTTCGATTCCCGCCTGCCCAGGAGGTGACCACATGGCGTGGCAGACCTCTCTTGACCCGCCCGCTGCTCCCTCAGCAGTGTACTTTGTCGACCTGACTGTTCTGGTCCCCACTCTGTCTCTGGTGAAGCCTCTCACCGCCCCTGAGCCTCTGGCCTGTACCCCAGTTCTGTATGCACAAATAAATAAATCTTAAAAAAAAAAAAATTGAGATCCAGCAAGATGGCTGCAGAGTGAAGATGCCGAAATCACTACGTCCAAGCTCACACAGGAATATAATACTAAAAACGGACTGTAGACTTACATACTACGTGTTTCAACCCAAATGAGAGCACCCTGGACTCACTAGAAGGAAGATAACTGAGGGAGAATCAGTTATTGGGGAGCTCTGATCCAGGGGTGTCCAGGCACCCAGGTGCCCATGCACTAGGAAGTGCTGCCCTTTGGCCCTGCCCTGGAGATAAGGAGAGGCAACTCAGCTCGGTAAGTGGAATCCAAGCTGTGGGGAAAGACTGCTTGGAGTTGGCACAGACAGCCTAGGAAGTGGGGAGGAGGAAATGGCAGCAGGGGGAGCTGCTTCCAGAGCTCCCTGTACCCCCCACTCCCACAGCATAGGCCTGGAGGCTTGTTCCCGCCATTAGTCACTAAGGTAGGGTCAGCAAATTCACAAAGACCCTGAGGTCAAAGGGGGCAAAAAATGTGCCTCAGACTAGAGATTTGCTACCACTCTACCTGTTTACCACAAAACCTGCGGTAAAGACCTGGAGCTAAAGAGAGACAACTCAGCTCTGTGAGTGAACCCCAAGCAGTGGGGAAAAACTGTTCAGGGAGAGACTGCTTGGAGTGGGTCCAAAGAGCCCGGGAGGCACTGAGGGAGGACTGGCAGCCTGCACAGGTAGGAGGCTTGCAGCCCTTCTGCCATTCCCTGTACCCCTGCATCCCCCGCCCCCACAGCAGAAGCTAGGACTCAAGACATTACTGGATAACAGTGGCCTGAAGACTTGTGAGCCAGTAAGGAACTCCCTTGCAAGTCTCACAGTGCTGTGAAAGTAAACAAAACCCAGTGACTGGCTCAACCACAGGCCCAGCTGCACAGAGACCTACAAGACTTCTAACGTGCCCCACTCCCTACAGGCACATCCAAGCACAGAGGGAACCCGGGACATCAGAAGGCTACAAAGATCAACAGGCACCTTCCAGAGACAAGGACTCAACGTGTTAATGGAAGAAGCTAAGCACCATAAGAGATTGTCAATGGCTGAGACACAATTCCAAAAAGTGGGAGCTGGAAAAACAAGAGATATTAAAACAAAACAAGGCTCAGAATACACTCCACAACTAAAGTGTCTTGAAGTCCCTCTGCCATCCCAGAAAGAACATCCAGAAAAAAGGCTGGTCAATAATAGCAACACTGTGTCTGAACGAATAGAAAGTATTAGAAAATACATGATAGGGAAAAGAAGACAAACAAATAATCAAGTAAGTCCATAGGGGAAAATTCACCGCAAAAAGATCAGTCACCAGAAATCACCAAAGAAATAGAAGAACTGCTCAGCCTACCAGACAAAGAATTCAGAATCATCATGATAAACAAACAAAAAGAAGATGAGAAGGAAAAAAATGACACGAGGCAAGTCATCAAGGAGTTGAAGAATGCAAACAAGGAAATGAATGAAAGAAATGAAAAAGAAAAAAAACGATATGAGACAAGCAATCAACGAATTGAAGAAAGAAAATAAGACATTAAAGAAGGAAACAGAAGAAGGAAACAGGAGATGAAAAGGCCACTAGAGGAGATAAAGAATGCTGGGAAAAGTAATGAAAACACAATAGATGAAATGGAAGAACAAATCAGCACACTCGAAGACATAAAAATAAAGAGAATTAAAACAGAAAAAGAGAGAAGTAACAAAGGAAAAGGAATGAAGAAACACTTCAAGAGCTATCTGACACCATTAGGAAAGGAAGTATCAGAGTTATAGGTATCCCAGAAGGTGAAGAGAAAGACCAGGGAATTGAGAAAATATTCACAGAGATAAATAGAAGAGAAATTCCCTAATATGAAGAAGGAGATGAAAGTAGACATCCAAGAAGCAAGAAGAGCACAAAACTACCACGACAACAGGAGAAATACAGCAAGACATATCATAGTAAAACTACCAAGAATACAACACAAGGAAAAGATTATGAGAATGACAAGAGGGAAGAAACAAATAACCTATAAAGGAACACTGATCAGGCTGATATCAGGCTCCTCCAAAGAAACAGTATGGGCAAGAAGAGAGTGGAGGGACATACTCCACAAACTCCAAAGCATTAAATACAAACCAAGAATACGCCATCCTGCAAAGCTCTCTTTCCTCTATGAAGAAACAATAAGGACATTTTCAGGCAAACAGAAACTCCACTCCAAA